CTAGCGTTTTCAGTGAATTTCACATAATCTTGCTTTCCCAAAAGTTATTCCCTTTCAGGCAGGAGTCGACTGCAGTTTCAACCTCGCCTGGGTCTCGGCAGCTAGTTCTTCGTCAACTTAAACGGAATCAATGAATATAGATATGATTTACTAGTAGTCTTGTAAACCTACTTATCAACGAAAAATAAGTAATGTAGTCGATTGCTATAGCAATTACAATTTTGCTTCATAGACAGTCCCATCACAGAGTGTGGTATGAAAAAAAGTCTGGCCTTCCTTGAAATGCACATCTTCCATGTGACCCAAAGGCATTCGTGGCAACCGGGCGAAGTCTTAAATGTATCGAGATTATACGCTGCACTGTCATGGTTTAAACCCAGCTGAGAGTGCTGACGAGATTCAGGCGAGGTCGAAACTGCAGTTCACTTCAACCGTGATGAGAATACCTTTTGGGGACACGAGGCTAGATGAAATTCAATAGAAAGATAAGGTATACTCATATCCTTGATGGAAAATTTAATTACATTCCTCTTATTACCTCAAACTAAATAGAGTTAACACATTCCCAATATGTGATTTACTGGTAGTCTAGGAACTAAAAAATAAGAAAAATTCAGTCTTAAATCATCGGGATTGCAGGCATATGGACGCTGACCTTTTCACACAATTAAACACTCTCAATTCCTTTTATGGGCCTCCTTCAGTTTCCGGTAGGTTTAGTTCAGAAATCCAATTCGACTAATTTTTTCCTTCGTAATGAAAATAAAAGCATATTGTGCTTATATTGAGCCTCATCATGGGCCCGTATTATGGCACTTAATGACACAAAACAAAGTTTACCAATATATGTGCATCTTGGAGTAACATCTCCAATAGCATCTCCTCTCCTCTTACGGGCCAGACCAAATTGAGTTTATGTGCTCCGAGTAAAACAGCCTAAGACGATTATTTTCGCCAAGCCAGAAGGTTTAGGAAGTGTACCCAGTCTGTGTGGGAGGACGTCGGACGAGTAGCCGTTTAGCGACCGGCGAACCAGGCCAAGCTGAACTTTCGACTTCAACACTACAGCAAGACTCGGCCCAGAAGTGATTTTCGGCGCATCCACAGCAAAAAAAGTTAGGCAGCAGATCATTTTTGTCCTTGCAGGCATGAGCCGGAGTACAGAGACAAACCAACGGAGGCCTGGTCCTTCAGACAGTTTTATTTGGTCTGTCCACAATGCTTCAAAGTGGACGCCTGGACTCGCAAGCCAACCCGAGTCCAAAATGTAGATCTTAATTAGTCTGGGTCGAGGCCATAAAGTAACTATAAAAGAGGTCGTATTATACAAGAACTAAAATGCTAACACCCATTTTCGAGTTCCTACTGCTAATTTAGCGGCAGAAAGGTAGCTTCGTCGAGCCTAGCGGTAAACACGAGTTTACCATAAAAGTATTATTCAGGATTGTCAGTAATTCTTGAATAAGAATTGAGTGTGCATAGGTTACTTAAGGTAAGTTTAGGACTGATAATTGAGTTTTCCCATAAGGAGATAAGTAGGCCTTTTTGATGCCACAGAATACTATTTAGACTGGCTTAATCAAACTTATCTCTTCCAGGTTGGACTGCAGCTTCCATCTTGGCTAGTTCTCGCCAGCACCCCAGCGGGATTCGATAAGACATTATTTGAAGAACTCGACTGCTAATTATTGTATTAAAGTAGGGTTTCGAGACTACCAGTAAATCAGTGTAATGAGATGTATTCACCCTATTTCGTGT